CAGGCGGGAGGGCCAAACCTGGAGCAGTGGGCTGGCGGGGCATAGGCGCGCAGCGGCCATTCTTCGCCGTGGTGTACGGAGCAGGGGGTCACCCTCGGTGAACGTGGGGCCTTGATAAGTCCTTGGATACCGAGGCGAGTCGGGGCTGGAAGAGGGAGCGCGTGAAACCTTTTTATCCTGGAAGGTAATACCTTGCTCAGAGTGGGGGGAGGACCTACTGTATGGATTACGGGTCCTGTCGGTTCTTACTGCAGCGTGGTTTCCGTGGGGCTGCGTTCCTCGGTGGTGGTTGTAGCGGCCCTCCTCCTCAGGTGGTGGTACCTGTTGTCCATGTTAGTCTCTGTATGTCTCTTTTTTCCTTCCAGTTAAGTGATTGTCAGGCAGTGAAGGAGAGGAGAGTGTAGTAGATGTTCATAGGGCAGCCTTGGGAACTGTTAGGTTGTATTTCTGTTGGTGTCTTGCACGTGCTTTCTGCAGCTTCTATATATTGGGAATACTGCTCTGTTTGGAGCTATTGTAGTTAGTAGTAGAAGTTTTCAGGCCATTTTCTTATGGCTGGTATGCTTATAGCTCTATGTCAGCCTTGAAAACACTTCTGAGTAGTGTAGTTCATGGGTTATGCTGCAGATGTCAAGTGAATCTTCAAACATAGTAGTTCAAGCCTCAGGAGTACATGGATTATGTTATTGGCTTATCATTAACTCCTTTCTGTTTCTTTTCTGATGTTAGTGTCTCAGTTCCTCTTTGTGTGTTTGGTAACAGTGTGGGAACAGAACATCAGATCATGGAGTTCATTATAAATTTGGGATGTTACTGATCATACCAACGTTAATGGTTTTTGTTGAATTTGCATGCTAGGGCTTGAGCTCTTCCTGTAGTGGCTATTGCAGTAGGCATGCTAGGTCCACATGATGCAAGATTTGTAATACAATTTTTTAAAATATCGCTGATGGCAAACTAATGTTTTAGGTGCTTGTAACTAAGGAATGCTACTGCATGATATATCAATACGGAGCTCCACAGACTTCTTGCAGAGCTTAAGACCTGAGTACGTTGTACAGGTTAGATGAGTGGAATCTCCTTCTGTGATGGTGGTGCAGCAGGCAGCTGGAATTAAATGGAGTGGAAAGTAAATGGAATTTAGTTAAAGTAAAATTCTCTCCGTTTTCTTTCTGCGTTTTTAGAAAGTATGTAAAATAAAGTGATGTCTTAGTAAAGTCAATAGAAATTGTTATTATGTGGATGGATTTCATTTATTATAGGTATCTGTTTTGAAGAAAGTTGTAAGTACTCTGGCTGGTAGGAATGTATTCCACAGTGTTTTATTGTAATGTTAGTTTTCAGTCAGAGATTTTCTAACAAAACAGTATATGAGGCTTGACTCTAGATTGAATAAATTATTTGTCATATTTAATACAATCACAGAGTGGTTTTAACCAAGTAATTTTTTTTTAAGGTGACGCAGTATTTATAAGGTTGAAAAAATTATTGTGCTTTCCAGAACATATGATGCCTGTGAAGTACACCCAGGACCCTATTTGAATATGATTGTAGGTGCTAATGGAACAGGAAAGTCAAGCATTGTTTGTGCCATCTGCCTGGGACTGGCTGGAAAACCTTCTTTCATAGGGCGAGCTGATAAGGTAACTATGAACTTCTGTAATCTTCATGTTTAATCTGAATTTCCTTAAGAGCCCTGTCCAGCACAGGAGGGGAAATAAAGACTGTCATCCTTGATTTGCTTTATTTTTATAAAAGGTAAGGTGTCCACATTGTAGAATAACCTTGTCTGGAGACAAAGGCCAAAACCAAAGGGGTTTTGTCTTAGTTAACTACTTGTTGACATGGCTGAATTGTGAAATGGAAGTCCCTGAATTGTAGTAGAACCTGAGTAGGCTAGAGGGTTTATTTGAAGATGTCTAAGCCTCCACAGTGGGGTAGGAAAATGCCACCTAATGCATAAATAACTTTTGATTGGAAATACTGACTAAAAGAGAAATAATTTTTTAAAAGTCTAATGCAAATTTTCAAGTATATAGAATCTGTAGAAATAACATGTCCTTGATGTGTCAGACCATTTGTCTAGAAGCATGGAGCCACTGATCTTTGATTTAAATGGAAGCTGGATTGTTTTGGGTTGTTCCTTTATTATTTTCATTGTTTGGTCCCAAGAGATCATGTGTCAACATTATAGTGGGAAGTTTGTTTTGTCAAATTTTGAAGTTTTGCTCTTGCTTTCTTGGATATTCTGGTTGGCAATTTCTTCCATTTGCATTGCCTTTGTTCCCCAAATTCATGAGAACTTCTTTCTCTCTGTGGATCTGGTGATTATAGTTTTTCAGTTTTGGAGGTTGAAATTGGTCAGAAATTATTAACCCTTGGAGGAAGTTCTAATGCTGCTAGTTGATGAGGAAGAGGCTATTGTTTTCCTTTACTTTTAGTTAGTAGCCAGCCAAAAGAAATTTTAGGTTTTAATTATAATTTTTCAATAAAATAACCCATTACAGGAACTGTGTTTTACAAATATGTATTTTTGTAAGAGATGACATTTTAATACACTAT